AAAAAAAAAATCTCCCTTCTTAAATTCAAGGATTGTTGGATTTCATAAAATTTCATGTCGTAGTTTATTTAAATTATTATTTGTGGCGTGTTAGATCCATGTGGTCTGTCATGTATGGCTTGCATCTTAGAGAACAAAATCTTAGGTCTATTACAGCATTTCACATTCAGTCATCTCAAACAGATCCATGCCTTCATTATCACAGCCTCCCTCTCTCAGAATCTTCATTTCTTTTCCAGATTTCTTCGTCGAAGCACAGAGTTTGGTTCCATGGAGTATTCGGCTCTGATATTCTCCAAAATGGATACTGATATCAGCTCAGGTATCGCCCCATGGAATGTAATGATCAGAGGGTATGCCTTTAACGGACCCCATGAGAAATGCATACAATTGTTTGATCAAATGCCTCAGAGAGGATTGAAACCCAATAATTACACATACCCATATGTGTTGAACTCTTGCTGTGAGATGGCGCTTTATAACAAAGCCCTAAATGTGCATTGCCAGATTGTAAAGACTGGGTTTGATTCAAGTTTTGCTGTTGCCAAGTCTATTTTTAATTTGTATATTAAGATGCAGGCTTCTTTTGGTTCTGAAAACGATGGCAGAGCGAGTGATGCCCGGAAGGCTTTTCAGGATATGCATGTGAAAACGGTAGAAGTGTGGAATCTAATGATATCAGAGTATGTGCGCATTGGTGATATAAGTTCTGCAAGAGAGCTGTTCGATAAAATGCCTGAAAGAGACATTGTTTCATGGAATTCTATCATATCGGGTTACATCAGAAGTAGGGAGGTAGCAAAGGCGAGAGATTTGTTTGAGCGAATGCCAGAGAAGAATGTTGTTTCATGGACATCAATGATTAGAGCATATGCAGATGCAGGAGACCTTGTCACTGCCAGAAAGTTTTTCAAGGAAATGCCGTGCAGAAATGTAGTTTCTTGGAATTCTATGATTTCAAGTTACACCCAGCACGAGAAATTTCATGAAGCATTGGACCTTTTCGGGCAAATGCAATCAGAGGGGGTTGTGTCAGATGGATATACCTTTGTTTCTGTTCTATCAGCATGTTCTCATTTAGGTGCACTGGAATTTGGCAAACGTATACACTACATGATAAAAGATTGGTCTCAGCTGGGAGTCATAGTGAGGACCGCCCTCATAGACATGTATGCAAAATGTGGAGATATTAATACAGCTTTTACACTATTTATCAAAATAGGATGGAAGGATGTTTTTTGTTGGAATGTTATGATAAAATCACTAGCTATCAACGGAAGAACAGAAGATGCAATTAAACTGTTCTATCTGATGCCGAAGACTGGTTTGAAGCTAAATGACTTCACTTTTATGGGGGCTTTGTTTGCCTGTAGCCACGGGGCCTTGGTAGAAGAAGGTCGGAGGATTTTTTACAGTATGGAGAGAGATTTTGGTGTTAATCCAACGCTCGAACATTTTGGTTGTTTCATAGACTTACTTAGCCGGAATGGTCGGCTTGAGGAAGCCCAACTTCTAGTGAGGGATATGCCCTATAAGCCTGATATTGCTATTTGGGGAGCTTTGCTGGGAGGATGTAGAGAAAGAGGTGACCTGAAATTGGCTGAAAAGGTCGTAGAGAGAGCAACTAAATTGGAGGCAAATGAACCGGGAATTCATGTACTGTTGTCTAATATGCATGCCTCAATGGGTCAATGGCCTGAAGCTTTGAATGCAAGGGAGAAGATGGAAGAGAAGCAAGTATTGAAGAAGGTAGGGACTAGCACCATTGTTTAGGACTCACGCCAATAACAAACAGATATAGTGGAAACAAACCAACAAGTCATGCTTTTAGATGCAAGCAAATGGTAGCTTCCTGCCACGAAGACAGCCAGACAACTGCTACCGTTTTTGCAAATTTTGTTTTGGGAATGACAGTTGGGCTTCGATTTATGAAGCCAGAATTGCAATGCTACTTCCAAGTTTGTGAGCCACAAACAATTTTGGTGGCATTGGTAATTTAGTATTTCAAGTCAAGTTACAACATCAAGTTAATGACCATATCCCCCTCTTCTCATACTTACATAGGCAACATCACCAACCCTCCTCATATTTAGCACATACATCACCCATTAAACCCTAGAACAAACTCTCAATCACTCTAGCAATGGTAAAACGAGACAAATAACACGAGAAGCCAGCATCAGCTCAGACAAGCCATCTAACTATCTGAGTTGCTAGATTAACAAGAGTACAATTACAATGGCAACATCATCTGCTCTTTCAATAAAATACATCTCATATTAGGGATAACGAGACACACTAAACCCCTCAACAGACTCTTAAATCATTCTTACAACCGTACAATGAGGCAACAATCTGAGTTGCTAGACTAACTAGAGTGCAATTACATCGGCAGCAACATCATCAGCTCTTCCAATACAATATAGCGCATATAGATCCCATATTCAGGATTTTATCATGATCCATCAAACCCCAATACAACAATCCAATTTGCTAGACTAAGTGTACAAACACCAAAATAAAAGGTCAGTCGTTTAGCTTAGAATCTAAACTACTCCAAAGCAAACACCAATAAAATTGCATATGACAATATTAAGAGCCAGTCTACTAGATATAAAGTTAAAGTGCCAGTCATCAAATAATATCAGTATATCAGCTCTTGAAGTCTTAAGCAAATATTGTCTGGGAAAAATATCAACTGGCTCCCAAGGAAAACCTTCAAGCTGTAACCTCTTGACATCCATGATGAATTATGTAGTAATCATGTTAAACTGGAATCTAGAAAGCTGCTGAGGAATGGTTGATATGACTGGTCCATATCTCTGTTTCACAATTAAAGTACGTTAGGATTAATTGAAGCAAATAAAAGTGTGAAGAAACAAGAAACAAGTGGGAAATCTTTGATAGTAGAGTAGAATGGGCAAGAGGACATCTGGGCACCTGAACATTATCATAGAGTTCAAACAAGGGAACAGCAAGAAGTTTCAAATTTTTAGGTACTGCAAAGTACTCCCTCTCAGACAAGTGGACTAAGAAAAGCTTCTTACATTCCTGCAACATAAAAAGTAGGGGGAAAGATAAACAATAAGCATAACCTCTAATAATATAGCCACATACTAAACATAAAAGTAGAGGACAATGGAAACCAGAACCGGAAATTTTACTTGATTTTTAGGGTCTTATAATGGTGGATACCTTTGGTTTTTTTATGTGAGGAGGGCAATATGGATACATGATGGTTTCAAAGTTGGGCCTCCACCAAATGGCAACACATTCACCAATCTGTAACAAACCACACATAATAATTTTGAGCAACAAAAGGAATTAATAACTATTCTAAACCGTGAACAAAAGTGAAGGTAAAAAAAGCTACCAAACAATCTAGCTAGGAAAACAAAAACAACAAAACTAGAAACATAAACAAGGATGCACTTTATAAACAAGCATAAAAACAGCACTGCAATGCAAGCCGATTTTTTCCCCTTGTTCTCACATTGAATAACATATCTATTTGTTCCAATTTCCATCACCCACACACAAATTTAAGAAAAGAAGGGTTTTTCTAAGATCAACAGTTAGGTGTTCAATATGAGACATGGAACAATACCTGCCAGTCTGGCACAAGAGCAGGTGAATTAGCTCCAAGCTTGCTGGTCAGCTTCCTTTTCAGGCCCTCAATCTCTGAAGCAAAAATAGAAAGGAAAGGAGTTATCGAAGCAAAAATAGAAAGGAATGAAGTTATTGAAGCAAAAATAGAAAGAAATAGAGTTATTGAAGCAAAAATAGAAAGGAATGGAGTTACAACCAGGAGGAAAGTAAGATCATACCATTTTCCCCTGGCTTCAAGCGCCCACCAGGAAGTTTACAGAATGTATTACCAATTTGGAGAAGAAGAATATGAGGATGATTATGTTCCTGGACCTGCAAGATAAAAACAACTTATAGACCCCACAAAAAGAAAAGAGTTGTTAAGAATTTTATTTAACTAACAAATTTTCATAAACATGCACGTGGGAAAAGGAGAGAGAAGCAAATTAAAATTCAAACTCAGTACACCAAAAGACAGGCAATATGATAACATAAAAACAAATGGTATCAGTGATGAAATACACAATCTTAAAAAGAAGGAAATTGCCTCTAAAAGGCACCTCTGATAGGTTAACTAGTTATCTATCTTTTGGTTTGTATATAATGTCCCAGTGACATCTTCTGTTACATAAACAACTGAATTAATTGTCTACAGCTATCTAAGTTCTGAAAACAAACCCCTTCTAGCCAAGAATGTAGTCAAAGACATTAGCTAATGATGATTTTTATTGCCATTACTCCAGGATTTTGTCTAGATATGCCTGTGCCTAAAGTCTGAGCTAAGCTGCAGTAAGTGCTAGCATTGTGGTAAAACAAGATAAAGAACTATAATTTGCTTCTTCCTAAACTAGCAATCCATACATTTGGGTGTGATGCAACTCAAACTAAAATAGTCTAGAACCACAGGTCATAATATAGTTGCATTAACTAGGTACAAATCCATGGAACAAGGCACTCACAACTACACTATAAGCATATGGTGAAGAAATTAAATATCTAAAAAATTCAAAAAACCATAACTAAGACAGCTAGTACGCAAAGTTGAAAGATTAAAAAGAAAAAGAGTAGAATGCACACCTTGAAATGGAAGGAAAGGAAATAGGCAATACAAGATAGGAAAAGGGATACATAAAATTGTAAAAAGCAAACATCAAACCAGTAAAAAGTAATACAAGTTTCTCTATAATCTATATTAAGCATTAAAAAAACATTAGAATTATAGCATGCTTAACACATAGTTCTCAATGTAAAAGCATAAACACGTACCAACAAAATTGCTTCAACACTAGTCCTCATTCCTTCTTTCATATAGCTGCACCCATAATCATGCGCAACAGCAATCATTTATAAAGGAAGCATAAAAAAATAAAATAAAATAATGTCAGAAATTCGCGATAAATTAATGTTAACTGACAATTGAAACCTTCAATGACAGCTTTAGGACCTAACTTCAATAATTTGTAATCTAAGTTTAGAAAGGAGTTTGAAAAAGAATTTGAGTCAATGAACCAAGATTCAACAAACTAGAATACACTTGAGATATAAACAAGCGAACTAACGTATTTCCACTAAATTTACTAATCAGTTGGAGAAAAAAGGTCACTCCTGCATTGTGAAGTACTAAAAAAACTCACCTTAAGCTAAACAAAAAAGGATTGATGATCCAAATATAACAATGTCGCTATTATCAAGTTCTTAAGGTGTAAACTTTGATTGGATTAAAGAAATTAGGGTTTTGAAACCCAGATTGTAGACTGAACTAAAAAGATTGTTCCCAACACTAAGGATACAGAATCAGCTTCCATATTTTGTATCAAAAGCAACGAACAATGACCACAATAAAATATCACTGCTCTATTCTTTTCTTCTCCATCTCCAAACCCAGAATAGGAATAGAGGCTTATGAGTTTATCTAGGGTTTTTTCGAATCATCCAAAGAAATTAATCAAAAAGATGCGTTCTTAAACAGTAGAAGAAATCGAGAGGGGGTGATAAATTTACTTGACTTTCATCCGAGCAAGGCGATCAGCGACGGAAGTATCCTTCTCCATCTTCGGCTCTTTGGTCCCGAAGGTGTAGCTCGAAAGCGGGTACGTGTTCACCACCGGCGACGTCACCATTTCTCTGTTTTTCAAGCTGCAATCGTAAAAACTAGCTCGGAAAAATTACGGTCGCCGAAATACTCCTGTCTCCCGCGGCGGAATTCTCTTTCAGTCCTTCTCCAGAATTCAATAGAAAGGAATGACAAAGCGAAGGAGGCAAGCAAGCGATTTAAAAGAGGCTAAACGGTGCGTATCGGTTTCTTCGTGCTATTTGTTGAGGATTTTTCTAATCCTTACCTTTATTTTTTATATATGTTAAGAGCATTTTTTTATATTAAATTTATATAAAAAAAAAGTAAA